TTTTATAATCATCTCAATTTACTGTATAATAATAATGATGTAGAATTTCGATTTTTTGGGTGGGGGGGGTGGGTGGTGTTCGTGAAAATCTATATATTGCTTGTTAGTTTGTTCCACCATGTTTACTCTGTCTGTCTGTCTGTCTGTCTGTCTGTCTGTCTATATTCTTCATCTAACTACAACTAAAAAAAAATTACCAAAAGATTTATCACAGAATATGTGCCCTGGGAAAGATGGCAAAACGCTCACTGACAAACGAGAAGTCCCAGGTTCGACTCCCAACTTCCGGCACTACCCGACGGATCGTGACGTGTTGCTCAAGTCGTCGCACAGGTGGATCAACGGCAAGAGGACGGACGACGACGTGGGGCCGTACTGGAGGGTCCATGATAAGTTATACGACCTGACGGGGTTTGTTGACAAGCATCCCGGAGGTGTGTGTGTGTGTTGGGGGTAACTCTTGTTTATATATACCATCTCTCTGTCACTGTGGCGTAGCTGTCTGCCCGTCTGTCTGTCTCTTGACACTTTCTTTCTCTAGTTTTCTTTATTTTTCTTTATTACTCTTTCTTTGTAGTTTTCTATCTCTCTGTAGTTCTCACAGTGTCTCTCGCTTTCTTTTCACTATAGCTTTCTCTCTCTCTCTTTTCACTAAAGCTCTCTCTCTCCCTCTTCCACTATAGTTTCATCTGTCTCTTTCCCTTTCTCTATCTATAGCTTTCTTCCTCTCACTCACTCACTCTAATTATTTTACTACCTTAAACACAATTACTTTCCAAGGTTAAAAAAAAAATAAAATAAAATATAACTAAAAAAAAATTTCCTGATATACAAAAACACCAAATAATTTCCAATGTTTTAAATTTCCTTTAAATCTTTAGGGAGGGATTGGATTCTGGCTTCACGAGGGACAGACATCACAGAGCTGTTTGAAATCTCTCACCTGACCTCCCTACCCCTTCAGTACCTCCGTCAGTATTACGTGAGAGAGGCCAGTTCGCCCAGAAACTCTCCCTACACTTTCCACTCAAATGGGTTCTTCAAACGTTTCCGAGAGAGGGTAAGGTCCAGTGTTGATGGTGATATTTTGTGAGTGTTGGTGATAGTTTGTGAGTGTTGGTGATAGTTTGTGAGTTTTGGTGATATTTTGTGAGTGTTGGTGATAGTTTGTGAGTGTTTGTGATAGTTTGTGAGTGTTGGCGATATTTTGTGAGATTTAGTGATATTTTGTGAGTGTTGGTGATAGTTTGTGAGATTTAGTGATATTTTGTGAGTGTTGGCGATATTTTGTGAGTGTTGGTGATATTTTGTGAGTGTTGGTGATATTTTGTAAGTGTTGGTGATAGTTTGTGACACTTGGTGACCCAGACAAGGTGAAATAAAGTTACTGATCTTCAGGTGAAATAAACTAGGGTGGCTAATCTTCAGGTGATCAATCAATTTACTGAACAACTATGTACCTGGCAGGCAGGACCGATCCTGAAGGAGGTAGGAACAGGACCTAGTTCCTTGATGGTGACGATGCAGGACTCCTTGGCGGTATCCTTCCTCCTACTGATGGTCGCTGCTGCTTCCTGGGATTCTCTACCCCTCGCTCTAATGGCAGGTGAGAGAGAGAGAGAGAGAGAGAGAGAGAGAGAGAATATTTTTTTCTGTAGTTATATTTTTTTACAATTTTATTTATTTATTTATTTATTTATTTCACCAGGCGTCTTTCTTGCGGCAACAGGCAACTGCGCTCACAACTTCACCCATCAGAGAGACACTTGGCGGCTGTACTACCTCGACCTGACACTGTTATCCTCATATGAATTCCGCATCATCCACATCATGTCCCATCACGGGTATCCTAACACCTACTATGACTTCGAGGTAGCTGTTCTTGAACCATTTTGGACATTCTTACCTAAACCAAACAAGAATTGGATCCAGAGATATGGGAGTTATATTCTTGATCCGATCCTCTTACCATTGGCGTTATTCTCTGAGGGGCTGAAGAGATTGTGGTTCCTAGCTCTTGGGGAAGTGAGGTTTAGGCCTGAGAATGGGTTACCTATACTGGAGCTCTTGGTGTTCCTTGTGTTGTCTCAGTCCATCATAGTTGCTCTCAGGTAAGTGTTTGTATGTGTGTTAATGTTGTGTTTTAATTCGAGTTATTTTGGGGGGGGGGTTAGGTGATTTTGCGGGGAATTTTTGTGTTTTTAAGTTTTGATTTGGTTTAATAGTTAATACATAGTTATACACACACACACACACACACACACACACACACACACACACACACACACACACACATACACACAAGACCTTCAATCTCTATCAATTCCACAATATCTACATCAATTCCATCACTAACTTCAAAACCATTCAATTTCTGTCATCTTAAGGATCACTCATCAACTTAACTATTTAAAACCTTACAACCATTAATGTCAATCTTATATTTTTGTAGAGTAAATTAATGTTATCTAATAAAAGTTAAATAAAAGAAAATAGATCAAAGTTGCATAAGAAGAGTTGTAATTACGTGTTGTTGTTGTGATCAGTTGTTGTTGTGATCAGTTGTTGTTGTTACAGGTTGTGGTTGGTGATGCACGCGGTCTGTAGCGTGTTAGTGGTGACCCTAGCACTTGTTGGCACTCACCACCACCCAGATATATACCACCAAGGAGACGCTATGAGACAAGACCGTGACTTTGGCCTGTGTCAACTAGATGCCGTGAGGGACAGGTGAGATGAGTTACCTGTACAAGATAATATTGTCTGTAATTAATAGAGTTTTACCTGTGTGTGTGTGTGTGTGTGTGTGTGTGTGTGTGTGTGTCTGTCTGTCTGTCTGTGTATGTGTGTGTATGCGTATGTATGTGTGTAATGCTATAAAAACTATATTCTCTCTCACCTGTTCATCACAATCTTGCATCACCTGTCTACACAAACACAAACAAACTCACCATACATAAAACACGATATAACACCAAAACAAACGAATAACAAACCATTACTCTCATCTCTCATCTCTCATCTCTCATCTCTTATCTCTCATCTCTTATCTCTCATCTCCATTCCAGGGTAGAAATCAACACCAATTTATTCTTAGTGGCTGTGGGCTACGGTCACCACGCCCTACACCATCTCTTACCTACTGTCGATCACTCCAAGCTCACCTACCTGTACCCAGCCCTTCTTGAGACCTGCAGGGAGCACCACATCGACTACTCCTTCGTCAGGGTGTGGTACATGGTGAAGGGGAAGTACCTCCAGTTGGCTAACATCACTCCAAGTGTTACGCCGAAGATAATTAATAGTTGGGAATCAGAAGAAAATGAAAGATAGTTTATGTGGTTTTAATAATGTGTTTTAGGTTTAGGTTTAATTTTATCATTGGTTTAATTTATGATTTTTTTTTCTTGTTTTTATACTTTTTGAGGTTTTAATGTTTTTGTTTTGGTTTATTCTCTCGTTGTTTATATCTTTATTGGTTTATTTTGTTTTATGTTGTTCGTTACGTGATGTTTTCTATATAATGAAGACCAGATTATCATGTTACTTGTTCCATTGTTCCAGTATGTATGTATGTATGTATGTATGTATGTATGTATGTATGTAAAACGAATAAATATCGATGTGAAATAAAGAAAATACGTGTCTCATCACCTCTCTCTCTCTCTCTCTCTCTCTCCCAAGCGAGTAATTAATTTTTTTACCAATACGTCATCTAATATAGCCACTTAGAGTCATTAAGTGGTAAATCCAGCCACTTTGTTCTCTCATTGTCATCTGTCCCTCCCTCCCTCCCTCCTTCTCCACCTTCCACCCTCCTTCCTTCCCTCCTTCCTTACACGCGCCCTTCCCTCCTCCCCTCCCTCCCTCCCTCGTTCTCACAGGAGGTACAGTATTTTCCTCCCCTCCCTCCCTCCCTCGTTCTCCACCTTCCACCCCTCCTTCCCTTCCTCCTTCCTTACACGCGCCCTTCCTTCCTCCTCCCCTCCCTCCCTCCCTCGTTCTCACAGGAGGTACAGTATTTTCGGATCACCTGAAGATTAACCACCCCATCTTATTTCACCTCAGATTAACGCTAACCCAACCTACCTCCCCCCTCCCCAGGTAGCGTTAGGGGTGTCTAATCAACAGGTACAATAAGCTGTAGTTTAATCTTCACGTCATCTATTTGGTTTTCATCAGCTCTAAAGAGATTCTGTGATAGGAAGTGTTTCATATGGTTGTCAATGAGGTATAGTGACATGAACGCCAGGCTTTGTTTAATGCTCGTACTGGCGTTGAATTTATGGGTTTTTTTTTTTACAGTAAAGGCTTCACGTAGTGTTTTAACGAGTTACTTTAATATCGCCACCATGAACCACCACCACCATACACCAACACTACCACCACACACCACCACTACCACCACACACCACCACCACATGTACAGAACCAAATACACAATGTGCTTGAATACCTCTCACTCAAATGTGAATAACAAAGTGTGCGGCCAGACATGCTGCCTCACACGCCTGTACTCACGCAGCTGTGAATAAGTTGCCCTTTATGTATAGAACTAAACAAATAATGTAATTGAAATACTGTGCCATAATATCCTGACCACGGGAGTTAATTATTATGACCTGTAGTAAACCCTACTCTGTAATCCTTTTGCGCTACCGCTCACAGGATGAGTGTGGGGTGCACAATAAACTAGCCCCTGTAGGAGGCAAAATTAAAAAAAATGAATGACCGCCACACACCACTACCCCCTACCACCCCCCACCACCACCACCCCACCTCCCTCTCCTCACCCCCACCTCCCCCTCCATGTTAAGGACAAGACGTCGAGAATGTTCCTCCTAATTGTCATAACTCGCTGTCCTGGAAGTCCTAATTGGGGGAAATAAATTGGATATCTTGACTGGATTGTGGCCAGATAGATGACAAGGATTGTGAGGGGGAGATAGGGTGCGTGAGGGAGAGATAGGGTGCGTGAGGGAGAGATAGGGTGCGTGAGGGAGAGAGAGAGAGAGAGTAACAAGAGCTTGAGGGAGGGAGAGACAGACAGAGAGAGACAGAGAGGGTGAGAGACTTTGAGATGATTATGTACACAGACACGAGAGAGATGTATACGTATGAACTAATTAAAATAACATAGAAAATGGAACCCAGGTACTGCCCCTTCAGATAGATAGCTAAGGTACTTACCCAGCAGGAGAGAGACGCCCTTCCAGTAATAAGTCGTGGCCACTTCAGGGAGCCTGGGGGTATAGGAAGGCGTGTGAAGTGGTGTAGTGAGGGGGGCAGGAAGGGGAATAGGATGGAAGGGAAGAAGAGGGAGGAGAGGAGGAGGGAGAAGAGGAAAAATAATGTAGGGAGAATGAAACGAAAGAGGACACACACACACACACACACACACACACACACACACACACACACACACACACACACACATTTTGGTCACTGAAATGAAGGACCCAACCCGACCCACACCTAACCTAACCACCGCATTTACTCTGTTCACTTCACGAAGACTTCAGGCTTAAATATGCAAAATACAGTCAAGTTCATTTGCATTTGTTGTTGTGTGTGTGTGTGTGTTTCCTGAACCCAAGAATGTGTTAATGTTGGGTTGGTGACCTGAGAGAGAGAGTTAATGTTTAAGTCACATTTGTGGAATCCTGGAATCTATCGGAGGCTGTGGAACCCTTCTAGGAATCGATGACTGGAATACTGGAATACCAACACACTTCTCAGTGGATATGGGTGATAGTGGTGGGAATAATGGTTGTTGTATGGTAGTGGTGGAGAAAATGGTGGTAGTGAGAAGTGGTGGTGGCAGTGGTGGTGGTGGTAGTGAGGGGTGGTGGTGGCAGTGAGGGGTGGTGGTGGTAGTGAGGGGTGGTGGTGGTAGTGAGTGGTGGTGGTGGTGGTGGTGGTGGTGGTGGCAGTGAGGTGGTGGTGGTAGTGAGGGTGGTGGTGGTAGTGAGGGGTGGTGGTGGCAGTGGGGGTGGTGGTGGTAGTGAGGGTGGTGGTGGTAGTGAGTGGTGGTGAGTAGTAGTGGTGGTGGTGGTGGCAGTGAGGTGGTGGTGGTAGTGAGGGGTGGTGGTGGTAGTGAGGGTGGTGGTGTGGTAGTGAGGGGTGGTGGTGGTGGTAGTGAGGGTGGTGGTGGTAGTGAGGGTGGTGGTGGCAGTGAGGGGTGGTGGTGGCAGTGAGAATGGTGGTGGTAGTGGTGGTGGAAGGAGATCTACTGTTGGTAGTAGTTGTGGTGGTGATATGTAGGAGTTGTGGTTGTAATGGTTGTTGTAGTGAATGGTGGTATTGGTGGTGATGGTCTGTGGTAGCCTCGTGTTTCCGCTTACAGGCAGGCTTATACATGTAACAACAACAACAACATAACAACAATAATAACAATAATAACAATAATAATAATAATAATAATAATAATAATAATAATAATAATAATAATAATAATAATAATAATAATAATAATAATAATAATAATAATAATAATAATAATAAACGGTTTATTAATAGAGTTTGAGAAAAATATACAAACTTACATGTGATTTGGACATAATGATATGCGTTCAATACATTTACAGGGCTGTACAGTACATAAATCAGGAGTTGTTTATTATTTTAACAATAGATGGGATGGTGCTATTCTTTATATCTATCAGTGCGGGCTCTTATGGGAATTTGTTGTAGTGGCGGACTGGGGTGGCGAGGACTGCCGGTGGCAGGAGGTGGCAATGACGAGGATGGTGCAGTAGTCCACTGCCAAACCCTGCTAGTGCGTGGTGGTGGAGGTCACTGAGGGATGGCCTTTCTAGTGTGGAGAGAGCGTTGTTGTAGCCGGAGTAGTCTGCGCCGAGCATGATTCTGCAGGCCCTCTTCTGTACCTTCTCTAGCTGACGTTGTTGGGTAGAGTTGAGAGAAGACGACCAGACTGGTGACGCATATGTTAATTTGGGGAGAATAAAGGCGTTGTAGATGGTCCTCAGCTCTGGCGTGGGTGTCCCAAGTGACCTGAGTCGTCGTAGCATGTAGAAACAGTACGAGGCTGTCTTGACTGTATTGTTTGCATGGGCCTTCCAGTCCAGTTTGTGGTCGATGGTTACACCCAGGAGTTTGGCCGAATGCACTAACTGGAGAGGATGGGCACCCACTGTAACTGCTGGAGCTTGCACTGGAGTGGTGGCGGCATTGATGTGCATGACTACGGTTTTGGTGTGATTGATGATGACCTTAGTCTCCTTAGTCCATGCCTGTAGCCTATCCAGGGTGCCTTGTAGCGATGAGTAGCCCGGTGAGGTGATGTCCACTGTAACCCCCACAGTGCAGTCATCCACGTACTTCCACCTGTGAGGAGTGTCTGATAGAGAGTCATTGATCAGGATTAGGAAGCACAGTGGTCCCATCTTGGTCCCCTGGGGAACACCGCAGGTGAGGTGTTGGAATGTGGAGACAGAACCCTGGTACCTCACTGCCTGACGACGCTCACTCAGGAAGTCAGTGAGCCATGAGACCAGGTTGGTGGGCAGCCCTAGTGCAATGGCCTTGTTGATAACAGTGCAGTGATCAACGAGGTCAAAAGCCTTCCTGAAGTCAACAAGGGCAACAGCCAGTGATGTCTTACGTTTATCCAGGTTTTTGTGCAGAAAATCCGGAAGCTAACTAAGCAGTGTGATGTAGAGGAGGTCCTCATATTGCCAAATTGCTGTGGATCAATTGACTGATAAATACTAGCAAATGCCCATTCAAAAACAAAGTCTTCACAGAGTAGACTGGGTATGGGGATAATGGCAACTGGCCTGAGGTCGTTAAGGGACTGTGGGGTGGTGACCTTGGGGGTAGGGGTGACAAATGCGGTTTTCCTTTCATTAGGGCATTTGCTTTGTCTGAGGGATGCATTAATAATAGAACAGAGGGGGGTGGCAAGTTCGACTGCAAACTTCTTGTAAATTTTGATTGGGAGGTCAATTGGGGTTGTAGAGCATTTGGATTGAAATTTCAGGAGTTTGTTGGCGATTTCAAATAGCTGAACACTGGGAGGGGGGGAGGGGGAAGGTAAGTAGGCCGGGAGGAGAGTGAAGTCAAGACTGGGTAGGGTATGACATATGGTAGCAAAGTGGTTATTAATTGTCTCCGCTGCCTCCTCACTAGGTAAGAGAGACAAAAGGAAATGTGGGAGACTGACGGCTGAGACCACAAAGACCTTTTACCTTAGAGTACCACTGACCGATGCCGACCTCCTTGAGGCCGTGCACCTTCCTGGGATAATAAGTCTTCTTGGCTGACTTGATTTCCCTGATGACCTGGTTACGTAGACTTTTGTACAGGCGGTTGTTGGTGTATTATGCCTTGTTGCGCTGCTCAATAAGTCTTTTGATACGTGGTGTAATTCACGGGACATCATCGGGGTGGATCCTCAGTGTGTGTGTGTGTGTGTGTGTGTGTGTGTGTGTGTGTGTGTGTTTGTATCCTGTCGCTCTGTCTTCACGTTGACGTCATCAGTATACAGAGCCGCCATTAATTGAGTTTAATAAGCTGTCTGTGAGACGGCCTGGCTATCTCTTACCCGACACACACACACACACACACACACACACACACACACATAATTAAACAGAGTAAATTAATATATTACACCAAAACATGAATTACAAGATGCCTAAAAAGCTCAATATAGTGGGACGAGGAAGTGGAGCAAATATTTTGCAATGTCATCATGACTTGGCAGATATTCTGTTTTTAGCATCCCACTCAGCCAAGTGCACAAGGTCTTACAGTAGAGTTACGGCAGTAAGAGGAGAGTTATCAAGTCGTTGTGGTCAATGTATATCTCTAACTTATGTTTTGGAGTTATCAAGAGTTATTGTAGGGTTTAATCTTTGGAGTTATCAAGAGCTTCTGGAGTAAATACATTAACAATAACAAAAGCACAACAGTATATTAATAACTTATCGCTTTGGTTATCCTCGCTATTGTTAAGTTACGAAACTAAACCAAATATAACACGTGTAGTCACTCCCCGTGTTCATGTGTGTAGAGTCTTAAGTGGTAGATAACAAGATAACAGAGCACTTTAGGTTCTACACTTAGGAAAGTTTTTGTTTTGCGACACTCCAAGTGTTGGGAAATAAGAGGAGGTGTACAGTGGTGTGGTGTGGTGTGGTGTGGTGTGGTGTGGTGTGGTGTGGTGTAGTGTGTAGTGGTGTGGTGTGGTGTGGTGTGGTGTGGTGTAGTGTGTGTGGTGTGGTGTGTGTGGTGTGGTGTGTGGTGTGGTGTAGTGTGTAGTGTGTGTGAGTGTGAGTGTGGTGTGGTGTGGTGTGGTGTAGTGTGGTGTGGTGTAGTGGTGTGGTGTGGTGTGGTGTGGTGTGGGTGGTGTAGTGTGGTGTGGTGTAGTATACAAAATAATAATTAAATAAATGATAAATTGAAGTATATTTCTAAGACCTCGGCAAAGACAGATAGACATAGAGACAGACAGACACAGACAGACACAGACATATCCTGCAGGGGAAATGTCTAGACAATATGAGAAGATAATTACTTAGTCGAGAATATGTCTTCACTGCCATGATTCTGTCTGTCTGTCTGTCTGTCTGTCTGTCTGTCTGTCTGTCTCAAAATCTCTCTCTCTCTCTTTCTTTCTCTCTTTATCTGTCTCTCTGTCTCCAACAACGAACATTGCGATAACTCAGCACACCCATCCACACACCCTCCCCACACCCATCCACACACCCTCCCCACACCCATCCACACACCATCATCCACAACCATCCACACACCATCCTCCACATCCACCATCCTCCACAACCATCCACACACCAGCCTCCACACCCATCCACACACCATCCTCCACAACCATCCACACACCATCCTCCACACCCATCCACACACCCTCCCCACACCCATCACCAAACACACCCTTGCCACACACCCGCCCACACACACCCATCCCACACACCCGCCCACACACGCCCACTTACCCTTGCCACACACCCGCCCACACCCGCCCACACACGCCCACTTACCCTTTTATACATATACAACTCAGTTTGAACACTAAGCTCGGCTATACAAACCCAATCAGCTGAGTAAACAAGAACACGTGGGTTTTCATGCATAACAAAAACAAAGAAATATATTGAAGTTTGTTTGTATATGTATAGGTTTAAGTAAGTTTGAAGTGTGTGTACTTAACTGTGTAGTGTTAAGTGTGTATGTATGTAAGTATGTCTGGATGTACTTAAGGCTTGAGAGAGAGTGTGTGTGTGTGTGTGTGTGTGTGTGTGTGTGTGTGTGTGTGTGTGTGTGCGTGTGTGCGATACTTAAATGTGTATTAAGTAAGTGAAGTGAGTTTGTAAGTAAGTTTGTTTTTGTCGGAATAATTACACGTCACGATTTGTAAGAAGAATCTTTATATAAGTAACAGAGACAGACAGACAGACAGACAGACAGACAGACAGACAGACAGACAAAGGAAGAACTGACATATATACAGCCAAATGCATACGATTATTATTATTATTATTATTATTATTATTATTATTATTATTATTATTATTATTATTATCATAGATGAATATAATCATACATACCAGGTCTCTATGAATACATGTCTACCTTAACTATCAAAAAAATACATAATAACTCATAGAAAATTATAGTAAACTTCCCACATAGCAGTTCCTCTTTTATTACCACACACCTGTACACTACACACCTGTACACTACACACACACTACACACCTGTACACTACACACCCTGTACACCACACACCCCACACACCTGTACACTACCACATGCACTTGCACACCACCTGTACACTACACACCTGTACACTACACACCTGTACACTACACCTTGTACACCACACACCTGTACACTACACACTGTACTACACCTGTACACACACACACACCTGTACACCACACACCTGTACACTCACACACCTGTACACACACACATGCACTACACCTGTACACTACACACTGTACACCACACACCCACCACACCTGTACACTATACACCTGTACACTACACACCTGTACACTACACACCTGTACACTACACACCTGTACACACACACCTGTACACACACACCTGTACACCACACACCTGTACACACACCTGTACACACACACCTGTACACCCACACACCTGTACCTACACACCTGTACACACACACACTACACACCTGTACACAACACACCTGTACACCACACCTGTACACTACACACCTGTACACACACCTGTACACCACACACCTGTACACCACACCTGTACCTACACACCTGTACACTACACACCTGTACACCACACACCCTGTACACACACACCTGTACACTACACACCTGTACACAAACACCTGTACCACACACCTGTACACACACCTGTACACCACACACCTGTACACCCACACACCTGTACACTTTCACACCTGTACACTACACACCTGTACACTACACACCTGTACACTACACACCTGTACACACTACACACCTGTACACCACACACACCTGTACACTACACACCTGTACACAAACACCTGTACACCACACACCTGTACACTACACACCTGTACACCACACACCTGTACACCACACACCTGTACACCACACACCTGTACACCACACACCTGTACACCACACATCTGTACACTACACACCTGTACACCACACACCTGTACACCACACACCTGTACACCACACACCTGTACACCACACACCTGTACACTACACACCTGTACACTACACACCTGTACACCAAACACCTGTACACCACACACCTGTACACTACACACCTGTACACTACACACCTGTACACGGTGGGGGAATATTATAAGCATATCATATTCTCTGGAGACTTGAGTTCAGTGCAAGAAGGTAATGTGGGAGTGAGTCGGTGAGGTTGTTTTAAATTATTCTCTTGTTTGTCTGTTTGTTTCCTTGTTTTGTTTTGTTTATATGTGTGTGTATGTTTTGTGTGTGTGTGTGTATGTTTATATGTTTGTTTGTGTGTCTGTTTCTGTCTGTCTGTCTCTCTGTCTCTCTGTCTGTCTGTTTTTCTCTGACCCTATGGCTGTTTACATTTCTCACTTCTCTCTCCTTGCTTTTTCTCTCCCCCTCTCCTCTTTCTCCCTTCTTTCCTCTCTCTCTCTCTCTCTCTCTCTCTCTCTCTCTCTCTTCTTTTCCTTTCCTCTCTCTCTCTCTCTCTCTTCGTCTCCTTAACAAGTCTCCCAGGAAAATTCGCCTCTGAATGTCCCGCCATTATCCCTGAGTGCCTCCGTCTTCCCCAGCGCCAGGAGATCACCTCCCCGCCCGTCCCGCCCTCCCCTCCCCGCCCGCCCCGCCCCCCCCTCTTCCCTCCTGCAATATAAACTCACAAGGAAGTCGTGTACAGTACGTGTTAGGTCTGGATCATACAAGTATCATACAGGTACAATACTTGTCTACACCACAACATACAGCTCCTCAGGTGAGACAGTTACAATTAATGTCAGGTTACACATACGACTAATTGCTTGTTCACATCCTTAACTAGTTTGTTTATGAGAATGTTTCTGATAAAATACCAAGTTGTTTATCATTTCATTCTACATCGTTGTAAAAAAAAATCTAATAAATGACCTTTATACATATACATCTAAATTATACATATATATATACAAAATGTCAAGTGATTTATTATGTATCAAGGTGTAGTGTAGCCACAGTATGGGCAGGTAGTGTGAGAAACATTACTACACTGTGTAAACATATCATAGTGACGTGTCCAGCTGACTTGTAGTAGTGTTTCTCAGTCCCCGGGTGAGTGAACCACCACCTACAGCCCGATAATCTATTTTCTTGTGTAAAGGTTAATTATTATGCAATTAATTAGTTATAAAGTTTATTAGATATAAAGTTAATCTATAATTAAGTTCTATTATAGTGAGGAGATGTTTAGTTCCTTAAATAACTCCGAATAATTTGATTGGAAAATGCTAATTTAACTCTATCTAGCGGTGAGATTCCCAACTATACCAACAGAGGTATAGTTGCCAGTTAGTCATCACAAGTATTAATACAGAGAGTGTACAGTTCTTGCTAACATTAAGTCTTCCTGTGAGTGTTGGCCACAGGTCGTCTTCAGTCGTGGTCCAGCGGTGCGGCTGTGTGTATAGGTCGCCGTGATGGAGGTGTTTCGGGCTGCTGTGTTCCTTCTCCTTCAGATTCTCGCTCTACACGACGCCCAGGCCGAAAACAGCATCGAAGGTATGATATTTAATCAAGGTGTAAGATATAAGAACTTACATGAGGGTTAAGGAGTCGTTGGTTACATTCGTCGGTGTTAAAGGAACTGAATTATCTTCATTACCCCGCGGCTAGGAGCTAGTTTATTGTGCATCGCTCAAAATCATTGTGCCGCTGGGTGATAAGAGCAGATAGGGCCGTACACGTATACCGAACAACACGGAGGTAAGTGATAGGCCGGGTCAGGCTCACTAACTCACTACTTTTATTTATTCTAGATGTATCCGGTTCTTTATGTAAATTTTTCGGTATTATCGTTTCGGTCATCCGGTTAGGTTAGGTTTGGTTTGGGTTGAAATGGTTTTTTCCGATCGTTTTTGGTGACCTAAACGATCATTTTGCCTCCAGTAGTAGTTAAGCCCGAAGTAAAAGCCCAAAATGGTTTAGTTTAATACATAGGGAAGTTCCAGTTCTTCCGCCTGTTCCTTATTCACGAGATTAATCCAATTTTCTCCTGTACAAAATATTCCCTTAAGGGGCTCCATCCCGACCACTAAAACTATTATAAATTTCAAGTATTTAGGGGATTTTTTTGACTTGGATAAAAGATTTAATTCTTTTGTCAGAGGGATTTTATTGCAGGACATAAGGTTGATATTTTAATACTTTATCCCCGGGTATTTTATTAATTCAATTACATTTTTTGTATTTCATAGTAAAAATTTTCAATAATATCCCTTCAATATTTTATTTTTTTTTTAGACAGCTTGAGGCACGAGGCAACGGAACACCGCCGAAACACTGAAGATTATCGCTGTGAGAAAGACTCGGCCAATCAAATCTTCCCCGAGGTGGTCCGAAGAGATCTGTTTGGAGGCTCTGAAGGTCATTATAAACTAGTGGCTAGTAAGAGTAATACTCAACATGGCGTCGCGAGTCCTGCTGTACTGACGCGCGGTAACAAGACGACAGTCGGCAGTAAAGGTAACAGATTGTTAAGGGGGGTTAGGTAGGTGTCTAGGTAGTGATGCCCCGAATAGGTTAAGAATCCCACTAGTGCAAGATAACAATAGACCACTTACTCAGCTGACCTTAATAACCTAGTCATTAGTTCCAATTTAGAAACCAATTACCCCATACTAAGTACTATTCAGACTAATCCCTCAAATAATCCCCAATTTGCTGTTAATTTCTGCCTGTTGTGTTTTTACAGTAGTGTGTAATCCTCTGTGGAAGTTTGAGTGCAGGAATGGTGAATGTATTCCTAAGAACTTCCGTTGTGATGGTGACTCAGACTGCCCAGATAATTCGGATGAGGAGGACTGCCCTAGGGTATGTTTTTCCCCTTGGGGTTTTGGAGTCCCTGGGGGGGCTTGTTTGTTTCCCTTGGGGCTCGTCTTGTCGACAGAATTTTGTCCTGAAATATTTCTCTGTATTTGTTTACTGTCGACAAAGAATTGTGTATCAAAACATTTCTCAGTATTCTTAATTTTTTCTATCGACAGACCGAGAATGGGAAGTGCAAAAGCGATCACTTTTCCTGCGTTAAGGACAATGTTTGTATTCCTAAATTGTGGATGTGTGATGGTGACAAGGACTGTGTGGATGGTTCTGATGAAGACCACTGTTCCTCGGTGAGGTCTTTACCTGTTGTTACACCTGTTGTTACACCTGGAGTGACGAGTATATGCTTAACCCTTTGTGTACGGTTTCATTTTACTCTTAAATTTGGTTTTTGTCTTACTAAAGGGAATTATTATATTGAAGGGTTGAAATTGTACTCTTAAGGGTTTATTGCAGTATGTTAAAGGGATGACGTCAATGTACTCGAGGGCTTGTATACTCGAGGATTTCACTATTAAACAGGTTATCGTACTCAAAGGAATGTCACTGTACTCAAGGGGTTATAGTATTCAAGGGTTTCGTTATAACGTCATCGTACTCGGGATTATCACTACTCGAGGGAGTAAAATACGCGAGGGTTTAAGTTTGTACTCGAAGGTTTTAACTATCATCGTACTCGAGGGGTTAATGTACCTTACAGCAGTGGGCGAGTGAGTTGGGGTATAACTGAAAATAAATATTAATGGTGGTTGAATTAGTCCCGTTTGCTTACTGAATCGTGCACAGCTTACTGAATAGGGCATTGTTAACCGATTCGGGCATTGCAAAATAGACCACAGAATTGGATCTTTCCCAACTAATTCATTATCGATGTTCGGATCTAGTCTTTAATTGAAGGCTTGTACTGTAGTCGGATTATATTGAATTGGCCTTTTAATTCTAACATGTTTAGGGCCCGAGTTCCCCTGAGTTCGTGGTTTGTGTTACAGCTCACGCCGTGTGAAGACCGTCAGTTCAGGTGTCATCGCGGCCCCTGTTTGTCCCCAAGCTTCCTGTGTGATGGCTCTAAAGACTGTCCAGAGGGTGACGACGAGAAAGACTGTGGTACGTGTCTTGGTCCATGTTTAATGAGATGTACACACACGTTGGTTTATTCTTACCGATGTTTCTTGGTATTTAATGTTTAGAATATTGTAGTAAATGTTTATATGGTAATTGTTACAGTAGCTGGTATGTTTTGAGATGTAGGAACTCTGTGGAATGTTTGTCTTGCATTGAGAAGTTTAGGTCATTCAGTTTTAATATGTAAATAAACACAGGGTTGCCACATCCTGCAAACCGCCCGAGGCACTGTACCAGTTATTAATGGAGGCGACTGAACAACGCACAATTTAACATTTTTAAACCAATTAGTAGGGAAATTTGGAGTCTCCCTAACTGTACTATCCCCCTGCCACCAACTATATCCCCCACCCCACCAACTAGATACCTTCTCCCTGCCAACTATACCTTTTCCCCCACCAGAGACCCAGTGCAAGTCTGTGCCAGGTCACTATCAGTGTGGGTCGGGTGACTGTGTGCTCCCAGAGGCGTTGTGTAATGGTCGCCAAGACTGTGAGGACGGGAGTGATGAAGGCGGTCGATGTAGTGAGTATCTTCGAGGGGGTGAGAGGGAGGGGTAGGGGGTGAGGAGGGAGGTGGAGGGGTAGGGGGTGAGAGGGAGGGGTGAGGGGTAGGGGGGTGAGGGGGAGGGAGGGGAGGGGGGTGAGGGGTGAGGGGTGAGGGTAGGGGGTGAGAGGGAGGGGTAGAGGGAGGGAGAGGTAGGGAGAGGTAGGGGTTGGGGGGAGAGGTAGGGTTGGGAGAGGGAGGTTGATGGGTTAATATCCATACTCGGGTTATACAATAGTTAACTATATTCCAGGTTTATATTGAAAACTTCCATATACCGGATTAACGGAATTCCTTTATTTAATCCGTTAAATGGGGGTTTTCACATCTAATGGATTCTAGATATAACGAACTATTAACATCTCATGGACTCCATATAACGAACTTCACTTCTAATACTCCATAAAACGGACTCCACGTCCTATGGGCGTGATATAACGAACTCGATATACTTCTTTATCTCTGCCCATTAAATGTTTCACTATAATAAAATTAAATTCCCATTATACATTAAGGTCCGTATATAAATAAACTTGATAGATAACCTTTAGTGTCGAGGTGCCATTAATTACTAACCCAGTGTTTACCTTCAGATGAAACTTGTCCAAAGGGGCAGTGTAGCTACAGGTGTTTCATGACCCCAAGAGGACCTCACTGTATCTGTGCTCCTGGCCATCACCTCACTGTTGATGGCTGTCAAGGTGTGTGTGTGTGTGTGTTGGTAAAATGGAAAGCGAGCGTGGGTCTTAAGTATCTTCGGGGGAGAATTGTCTTTCTTTCTGAATTTGATATTAACAAATTTCAACCTGTTACATACATTACAAGACCTGATAATATAATCTAAATAATCCCTGGATCTTGTCCCTTGTTGACCAGACCTTAAATGCTCTCTTGTTGACCAGACCTTAAATGCTCGGATCAGACGTGAACGAGTGTAGGAAACGTGAGCGTGTGTGACCATTTCTGCAAGAACGTGATCGGCAGCTTCGTGTGTTCCTGCCACAAAGACTACCGACTGCAGCCCGACAACGCCACCTGCAAGCTTAGAGAAGGTAGGTAGTGCTTGGTTGGGGGGGGGGTGTAGGAGGGTAAGGATAGGAGGAAGCCCTCCCGTGTAGGGGTGGGGGGGCTGTATAGGACTGCAATATCCTTGAAATATGTTGGTATTACCTGCCAGCACTCCCTCTGAAGTGAAGGCGAGAGGATATTATACCCGGGCTATGATGCACAATGCTGTATAATAACAATAATAATAAATCCGTTTATTATACATTTACAGCCTTGACCCTTGTTCATACCTCTGGGTACAGAAATGTGGTGAATGTTTATACACTATTCAGTTTTGAAGTGAATACATTTCAAGACAAATTCTACCTGTTTTAACTTGTATTATACACACACCTACACCTAATAATTATATTGTTGTGAATGTATAATATTTCCAGGTAATTTTATATACACCTGTTGCAAAATATATTTAGTTGAGAGGCTCTAGTGTTGATATACTTACCACCTGTAGTATTAAATACGCCTCACCTGTAATTAGTGTTGCTTATAAAGTCTTAACATTACAGAAGGGGGGACGGCGTTTCTCCTAATAGCTCAAAGAGAAAGATTGACGTCACTTGCTCTGGATGGGTCATACTACACACAGATCTACAGAGGCAGTGACACGGTCAGTAGGGTCACTGAGGCTTTGGTTTTTGTACGTTTTTACCGTTTTCTAAAGGAGGTCGTTTTACCCTTTGAGGAGGACTCTTTTAGAAGGAAGGTTAGGGCAGCTTTTGGGGGCTTATAAGCTTTACGTTAACGAATTAAGTAATGTAAACATCCCACTGAAAATCTTCCTCGAGGAGATTAGACATTTTTCCCATGCCGTCTAGGGAGGGAGACCCCGTAAGGCATGAATGCGTTTTATCCTTCAGTGCATCATGGAATTTGGGTAAAGGACTCTTGAAAACTTCCTTAACATTTTAATCAAACTTTTAAAGATATATCCGAAGGTTTTTAGTTAAGAGTTCGAAAATCTGTTTCTTGTTCAAAGTTCTGATCTCGTGGGTTTCCTGAGTGGGAGTGTTTGATCTTTCACTTATTACTTTTCCTAGTCAAGGTCCATCATTTGTAATGACTCTTGGACTTGCAACGAGTAGGGGAGGGGGTCCTGGACTTAAGGTAGGGGGTTCGTGGACTTGTGGTGGGGGAGAAGGAAGGAGGTTTTCGTAGATTTAAGTGAATAAACCAATTAAGATTTAATTTTTCAGGTGATTGGCGTAGGTTACGACCCAGTGACCGATGTTGTAATCTGGAGCACCGATAAGGCCATAGTGAGTGCGTCATCGAGAGGAGGTGCCATCCCGAATGTCCTTGTTGAAGTGGGTGAGTGAGGTATAGGTCACCCTTGAGAGGTATAGGTCACCCTTGAGAGAGGTATAGGTCACCCTTGAGAGGTATAGGTCACACTTGGCTCTACGTGCGAGTTAACTTCAAGTATGGCGTATTGATGTGCATAGTTATGACGTTGAAGAAAATGGCCCCGAAAATTATCTAAGCAGTTTAAGGGAATATGGACTTTTTAATAGTGAAGATGTGACGGTGAACTAGTGAACTTGACATTAATATTAAAAAAAGTGTAATCCAATTTAGTTTCAATGTATTTAATAAAGGTTTGTATGGTATAGAAAATTTATTTGAGTGCTTCTAAATTCTGTGGGTATTTCAGGCTTGGGTCGGGCCGAGGGTCTGGCTGTTGACTGGCTGGGAAGGAACATGTATGTTACTGACGCGGTTAACCACTTCATACTGGTGTGTGTGCTGACTGGGGAGGACTGCGTTGTGTTGTGGGAAGACCTACCTCACCCCAGGGGCATCCAACTCGATCTGGAGAACAGGTTAGAGTAGTCCGATTGTTCGTTCATAGAAAACAACACGAATTGAATGTTCCATTTGGATGTCTCCCCATAAGTCAGGTAGGGTGCTAGCGCGAAGAGCCCCCTCCCCCAGCAGAGGCACATTAATGGCCGTGTCGATTCGTGTCCTCGCGCCATCAGACAGACGTGGATACACTTGTTCCTCCTTCTTAGAAACCCGTGTTGCTTATTTGAATTTATACTGTATTCCAACATCTATTTACCTCCTTGACAAACTAATTTAAATTTAGGAATCTGTTCCACCAATCGACTCCTTGGTTACTGGACCACTAGAGATTCATTCAAAAGTTGACTGTTACAACTGTGGGAGGCACCTGTACCTTAGAGGAACTGTGGGAGGCACCTGTACCTTAGAGGAACTGTGGGAGGCAGCTGTACCTTAGAGGAACTGTGGGAGGCGCCTGTACCTTAGAGGAACTGTGGGAGGCACCTGTACCTTAGAGGAACTGTGGGAGGTGCCTGTACCTTAGGAGGAACCCGGGAGGCACCTGTACCTTAGAGTGAACTGGAGGTGCCTGTACCTTAGAGGAACTGGGGAGGCAGCTGTACCTTAGAGGAACTGTGGGAGGCGCCTGTACCTTAGAGGAACTGTGGGAGGCACCTGTACCTTAGAGGAACTGTGGGAGGTGCCTGTACATATCTTTGTCTCCTAGGTGCGTGTACTGGAGTGACGTGTCTAGAGGCGTCATAGAGAAAGCAGGGATGGACGGCAGTAGTCGAAGGGTGTTCTTATCTGAAGGTCTCAAGTGGCCCAATGCCCTGGCCCTAGACCAGCCTGCCGGCAGACTGTACTGGATGGACGCCCACGAGGACTCCGCCTACAGCGTCAAGACTGATGGCACGGACCGTAAGGTGAGAACCTGTTGTTGAGGACCAAACGTTTTAGCCTTTACCTGTGGGATTGTAACTAAAGCTTATCCAGGGTTCTAATGTGGATATGTCGGTAGGTATGGTGGAGAACTTGACCTGTTAATGGGTAGCGAGTGCCTGGCTTGCTAGAGGGAACCGCAAGAATACCCGTTTTATAGAAATTTAGAGCCACGGTGACTGACTTAATGGGAAGTGGAGAAGATAGACTCTTGAGTATTAAAGATTTATCTATCTCAATCCTGTATTCTCGCCCGTTGATTCTTCTCGCCTGTTGCAGCACCTAGCCCAAGCCATGCTGAGCCATCCCTACGCACTGTCGGTATGGGAGGAACATATTTACTGGACGGATTGGAACAATAATTTCATACACTCGGCCTTCAAGAGGAGCGGCAAACACACACAGATTGTTTTGAAAGGAAGTTCCGATAAGCAGTATTATGGCCTCACTGTTTACCATTCCTCCATGCTTGGTGAGAGTCAGAAGGTGAGTTGAAGTTGGTCACCTGTAGTTTGTGATTACCCACACGTGTGATGCAGATGAATTATTTATTGCACCTGTGACGTATATGCAAAGTAAATGACGTCAATATTACACATGTGACGTAGATAACTTGGGAATTACGTACCTGTGATAAAAAAGACGTGACTATGACGTAGTGTACAGGTGTAACTCAGGTGTGATGAAGTAATAATGCAGATGTTGATCCCTAGGGCACCAACCCGTGTATGGTGAACCCGTGTAGTCACCTGTGTTTGCTGTCACCAACCATTAGGGAATACACCTGTGCTTGTCCGAGTGGCACCATGAAGCTCGGTGCAGATGGTCGCACCTGTGTTGGTAAGTTTTAATTAATTACCTTCGCTGATATAAGAATCATTTGATATTATTAGTATGTTATGTAAATTAGTCAAATTGGTCACCTGTAATGTCGCCACTACTGAACTATGAACCCCTGAGAGATGGACTCGTGAATCCGAATCATTTATGGACAGAATAATGGAAGAGTCTACGGCTTCAGGTTCGTTCATGGTTGTGGCTCATGTTGGTGGTTACGTTGTGGCGTAAGTGTAGTTATCATTTAGGAAATCCTTGAACCCAGTGTGTACAGATACTTTTTTGATCGTGTGCATTACAACCTATTGAATGTTAATAAGATATAATACTTGTAATTCTCTTATAATGGACGGGCCGTAATTGTTTATTAATGAATTATGCACATGTATACATTTTTCTCACCATAATACATTTCTATATTAATTTTTCCTCACCTTGGGATATAACCTTGTCTTCCCCCTGTCTTCACCTGTTTCGTACTGTCATCGCCTAAATATATATAACCTTATTTTCTACAACAGACGTGGAGAACAGGAGCTACCCCGTGGTGGTCACGTCGAACAAACTCTACCTGGTGAATCCTCGGGTCTATGGCCGTACTACGATCAATGAATGGAACCCTAACCTCGAGCTGACCACAATAGGTGACCTCGAGTATGACCCTAAGCAAAGTAGGTGATCCTCTACTTGATCTGATGTTGGTACTTGAGTGTGACCTTGTAATGGTGGGGTAGGGGGTGTCTGGACCTTCTGTGGGAAGTTGGTCTGAAGTTAGACCTCTCAACCACTACGGGTCTATCGATAACTTCATTTTTTTCATAATGTTTATATTCACATGCCAACCATTTTTTTTACAATTCCAGTTTAGATATTTTTCTAACTAAATATATAATTAAAAAATTAAATGTTACAATTAATAGGTTCCGATAGTTTAATTCGGTTAATAGTTTCTGATTCTAGTCTCGGGGGGGCAGTGGGTGAGGTGGAGTGCTAGCAATATTGTTCACAGAAGACAAAATTTAGTGTGTGCTGTCCCCTTAAAATAGGCTGTGCTGTATCTCCACTGGATCATGGGTGTACAGTACGTGTATGGTAGCGCTGGAGTGGTGGGGGGTTAGTGCTTGACGGAGGGCTTATAGTGCTCAGTCTATCCACACTCCAAGGCTATAAAGCAAAGTATCCTATCCACATAAATCCACATACTGAGGATATAAAGCAAGTATCCTATCCACCTCATTCCTACCCCCATCCATCCATCCATCCCGACTCTTGTGTATATGGTCTTCTCTTCCCCGACAGTGATGATGGTGGTGAGTGATGTATGGAACGAGGTCATCTACGGGTTGTCGCAGGTCAAGGGGGTCTCTGTGGTGATCGTCAACAACACACGGGCCGTCGGTCTCTCTGTAGGCAAGTGTCTGTAGGAAGTCTCTGTTCATTATGTATGTAGTGAAAATCTTAACTTTTTTATTTAGGTGCTGTTATTTCTTTTGAGAACCTCCAAAAAAAAAAAAACTTGTATTTGCAAATTAATTTTTTCAGTTAATCTTAGCCAATATAAATTAGTGAAAACATAAATTTTAGTGAAAGGATTTAATTATTTGGTATTTAGTGTTGCCGAAACTTGAATTTGAGAACTCTTGTTAATTTAAATTCTCACCTGGTGACATGTTAACTTAGTGCCTCACCTGAAGACTCGTGTTAATTAAAATCCTCACCTGGACTGATTAGTGTTAATCTGGTTACCTGTTAATGCCTCACCTGGTTACAGACTGGGTGCGGGGTAACCTGTACTGGGTGGACGGTAAGCACGGTGTGGAGGTTGTGAGACTGACCGGGTCTAAAGGTCTCTACCGCACCTTGCTGCTCTATCCCATCCAATACCCGACTGATGTGGCGGTCGCTCCTCTGCTGGGGTTAGTTTTCCCCTATTTTATCCTTTGCTTGTACCTATGTTCCCCTATCTGTAACTATCTCCCTTTTCCCCCTATTTGTAACTTTCTTCCTATTTTCCCGTATTTTGTAATTTCTCCTATTATGGCATTTGTTCTCTAGTTTACAATTTTCTCCCCATTTTGTAGCTTTATGTATATCCTCCCATTAAGATTAATAATAGGGTATTTTGAGTGATTGGGAGTTGTGGTTATTGACTTGATGATGGTTAATGAGTAGGTTAATGATTAAAGTTTGTGGTTGATAGTGAACAGCTGTTAAGGATTGTTAAATGGTGCTCGATTGGTTAATGGTATCGTCAGGTTAATGTACGTGAGTGGTGCCGGGAACTTCCCCTACATCCTCCGCTGTGGACTGGACGGACAAGACTGTGCCAAGATTGTCAATACAGACCTGGGGAAACCTGTCTCTCTCACCTTCGACAGAGACCCTGAAATAAGTAAGATTTGTGGAGTATTTGTGGATATTTCTAAGGTTTAAGGCTTGAAAGCTTAATATATTTATCAGATTAGATTAGTGGAGGGATTTTATAATAGCCGGGTCAAAATGTTTAGTTCATTCATCGGTTCTGTAAGATTTTGACCTAAGTTTAGATATATCAACCTCGATCACCTTTAACAAAATATCACAATAGGTTAAATGGTGATCTTGTCTTCACAGCTTTACTTAAATGGGAAAATAACTAATGTATTCTATTCCTCCTCCTTACTACTCTTCCTCCTTTTTTCTCTCCACCACCTTCCCCTCTTCCTTCCACCCTCCTCACCCCTCTCCTTTTCCTCTTCCTCCTCACCCCTTTCTCCCCACCCTCCTAACCCCACTCGCACTCGCCCACTTCTACTCTCACTCTTCAACTCGCCCCCCCCTTCAACTCGCCCCTTCTTTTCACCCCCTCCCCTACAGAGAGACTATACTGGTGTGATGTAATGAACAAGCGAATAGAAAGCATAGCAGCTGATGGCTCTGATCGTCGCCTCATGGTTCGCACTACCGGCCAGCCTATCTCCTTGATGGTGACTGGGGCACAGATAGCCTGGGCACTGGAGGACTCGAGCTTACTCTTCATAGCTTCCAAAGTCAACATGACCAACATAGTTAACATTACTCTAGGTAAGTGAACAGGTTAAGTGAAGTCGTGTTTGCTTAGGTCGGGATAGGATTATTGGAGAGTATCTATAGTTACAGGCATTAGTCGGACAAATTCTCAAGTTAGGACCATTTCCAGTGGTGGCACATTGCTGTATATAACTGTAGAGTTGTTCAATCAATCTTAGTGTAATACAAGTCAAAGAAAATATATATTGTATCTTTTGTCGGAAGATTAACTCAAGATCTCATGCGTCCATCATACACCCCAAGCAAGAGAAGACTATACTGCCTCTGACTTAGTTTTCATCTTTTGTGAGTCACTGAACCAGACGTGACTTGTGTACTATTCTTGTGGATTTGTCATTTAATCTCTTGCACAATAATGAAAGGGGAAGCTGTAAGAGGAGGAAATATGAAATATCTTTGTCGTTATGGTGTTGCTATTTTAACCATGTCTCGTCACCAGCCAACAAGATTAGCAGCTTCCCGAGTGTGTTCAGGTTGTCGGAGTTGGCCTGGAAGATCCCTCCTACTATGGCGACCTCCCGCAACGCCTGTTCTGATAATGGCAACTGTTCCCAACTATGTCTTGGTAACGTCAAGAATGATCAGGTGGGTGGTGGTGGTAGTGAGGCGTAGCAGCAGCGTAGGGGAGTTAACGATAAATATATTTAATGACCAATTAGACTTAAAAAAGCTCCAATTAATGTGATTGACTCCTGTTTACGTCTGGTCTCAGGTGTGTGGCTGTGGCCCCGGCTTTACACTCTCACACGATGGAGTGTCGTGTCGTCCCAATGGCTGTGCTCCACACCTCTTCATGTGCACCACCACACACACCTGCATACCTGCTAAATGGAGGCAAGTTTGTGTGTGTGTGTGTGTCGTTTTACCTGTTTGGCCTCGTGTGTACATGAATTATCGCCCCCCCCCCTAAAGGTACAGTAAAACCGCATAACTTAACCTGATGTATTACCCCAGGTGTGACGGCGAGGCTGATTGTGATGACGGTGCTGACGAACAAGGTTGCCAAGAGCCCGAGAAGTGTGAGGAAGGAGAGTTCAGGTGTAACTCTGGGAACTGTATCTCTAGTACCTGGATGTGTGATGGTGTGAAGGACTGTACGGATGGTTCTGATGAGCCTGAACATTGTGAGAAAAAGAACTGTCCAAGAGGTAAGAACCCAGGAAGTGGTGGCGGCGGAGGGTTGAACATCTAATAGTCTTGTATATTTACTGTTAGGAGGAAATCATTCACAATACCTTAAACTAAAATGTTCTTAAACTTATAATGTATTTGAATTTAAAAGGTAAAATTAACCGCATTCAGTCAGTATGTTGCTTTAAACCATCAATGTATTTGTAGGTCAGTGGTTGTGTTCGTCAGGCGAGTGTATTACCAATATGTGGGTGTGTGATGGTGACAAGGAGTGCAGTGACGGGTCAGATGAGGTCAACTGCAATACCACCTTCTCACCACACAAGTACACCTGTAAAAACGGTGAGAGATGATAGGCTCGTTACTCGTACTCAATACTCATAATGTACTCGTAAATACTCCATACTGTACTGGTAAATAGACTCAATACTCGACTCCATGCTTGTATAAATTGACTTGATACTCCTCGCATTGTGGGGAAAAAATTGGCACAAAACAAACTAAGTGTTCTGGAATGTTGAGACCTTCGATAACGCACTGTGGCCGTTTTGAAGGAACTCCCAACGCGTTTTCTGATAATCTTGTCCAGAACGCGTTGATCGTGTTTGTTGCACAGTAAACGAATTCGGTTTATGATCCCAAGTTATAAGAGTCATGAAATTTTATGAATATAGAATGTATAACTACTATATAACACTAGGCATGCCAGGTAACGCTAGGTATTCCAGGTAGCCATTCCAAGAAGCAACCATATCCACTTAAGGTAACGTTATCTTCTAACAGGTGATGGTATCTCTCTGATGTGGAGGTGTGATGGTGACGAAGATTGTGACGACGGCAGCGATGAGAAGGACTGTGAAGGTAATGGGGAGGGAAGGTTATCTTTAGTAATGGGGAAATTGTGTACTGTAATGTAGCGTTTGTTTTGAGTGACCTTCAATGAGGTTTTACTGTGTGGGTGGATAGAGGTGTGGGGAAGGTTGGATTGCCATGCCTGACTGTTTTAAAGCTCTTAATATCCAGAACCCATTGTTTAAGGTTGAGAGTTTTATCTGTACAGTTGTGGCCAAAATTCCTTGGGGATCATTAATATTTGGGATCTCTTGTAGGTCATGAACACTTGGGTTTCAAAATTTCACTTTTATATCTATTGTATATTGCATTGTTGCTTTGAAAGTGATGGCAATGTTCACCTGTGTAATAAACCAATTGGACTACTCACCAAGTGGTTAACATGTACTTTTTGAAGGTAATTTCGACGACACAGGAAATAACGTAAATAACCGTTGAAGAGTTGGTTGGTTTATTAGAACATCGCTTAAAGTGGAGTGAAATCTTAAACCACTATAGGATAGTAAATTAATTCTGGTTTAATATTGCAGAAACTTGTGGCAATGATGAATTTGCATGTGACAATAAACAATGCGTGTCGATCCATGCTCTGTGTGACGGGGATGATGACTGCGGTGACCGGTCGGATGAGAATGTCCCCAGCTGCCATTCACGTGTTCGTCAGGAGGGCCCTCTCGTAGTCACCTGTCCTCCTAGTTTCATCTCCTGTAATCTAAAGGACACGAGTAGACTAATACCACTGTGTATACCCCACTCTGCTGTGTGAGTAAACTGTGTCGTCTGGTGGAGAGAGAGAGAGAGCTAGCTGGGAGGATGTCTGGTTTAGATGGGTGGGGGGGGGATCAGTCAGTTTTGTAGCCATTTAACTCCTGTAATCCTCCATCCAGGTATGAACATCTCTGGCCAGTTACTGTTGACGGTTATCTCTACAGGTGTGATGGCATCAAGGACTGTCCGCAGGGAGAGGACGAGGATTGTGCCCAATGCCACCTTCAGGAGCATCACTGCCCGAACTCTAGGCAGTGCATACCCTTGACGTGAGTCCGTGTGAGATGAGACACGTGGTTAATAAGGTGTAGGTAATGTATGCAAGTGGTTTTTCTGGAACATTTTTGTAGTTCCTGAAAATTTTCAAATTCACTCCTGTTAAATACATTGGTTAGGTCTGAAGTATGCCAAATTAGGGAAACGCGAATGGCCAATTACTTCAGGCCATGCGGGAGTAAGATTGGACCTGATGGGAATGAATGTTGGCTGTGAGAGCAAGATTGAGCCACGGGATTGAGACAGGGCCTTGTGGAAGTAAGATTAGGCCGGGTGGGAGTGAGTGCGAGCCGGTTGGCAGGTACAACAGTAATAGTTTCAACTTTGACATGAATTAAGATAATGTCACCACCACCACCACCACCACTACTACCACCACCACCACCACTACCACCACCACCACCACTACTACTACCACCACCACCACCACTAATATCGCTATAACCACCACGTCCTCCTTCTATAGGTACGTGTGTGACGGTGAAGAAGATTGTGACGATGGCTCGGATGAAGGCCTCCAGGCCAACTGTACCACCACCACCACTACCAGCACTATCACCGCCATGCCACCATTCTATGATAGTCCAAGTATGTGGTTCTGGTGGTCTGTACTGCCAGTGTAAACAAGTTATGACATGACCCGAGTTTGCTGTTTTAGTTTTGGTTTATGACTTCATTTTCTGCATTGACTTCATCCCCAAGTGTGTGTGTATGCAAGTCAATTGTTTACATTTAATTTATTTATATATTTTTTTACGCAAGATAAATTGTACAATATCATTCACATAGATTTTGTTAGGTTGGGTTAGGGTCAGTTGAGGTTAGGGGTCAGGTCAGGTCAGGTCAGGTCAGGTCTAGGCAATTACCAGTGTTGTCTTCCATAAAGGGTCGGGTATTGGGTCTTAAAATCTAATGGACCGGTTATGTAGCAACTTGACCTGAATAATATTAAACGGAATACTATAGTGTACAGAAGATTAATTATGGTACACTGATTCGTCTTGTAACCTTGAGTAATGTGACGGTCTTAATTCACTGAACTATTCTGGTTAATATACAGTGGCGTTCCTCTCGTTGAACACTAAATGGTTAATGAAAGCAAAGTGAGTCTATCCTCTTGATCAACAGAACAACAATCATGCCAAAACCAATTTCTGCTCTCTCCTCTGTCTCCTATCCACTGATATTGATTAACCTCTACAGTGGAGGAATGTGGTGATGAAGAATTCCAGTGTGGAGACGGGACCTGTATCGCCGTCACCAGCGTGTGTGACGGTGTGAAAGATTGTATGGACGACTCTGATGAAGGTCACAAGTGCGGTGAGTGAAGGCTCTTGTGGGGGTGCTGGGTTACTGTGGCTCGATCAAAATGGCATTGGGGACTTGAGGTGTTGATACCCCCTTGGAATAAATAATGTTTTAGGTTTTGAGCTGCACAGGTCTACAATATTTTCCGTTTTACTTTTGTATTTTGATAAGGAAACTAATTCTAATATAATTTTTAATGTTCTTTTGTGTTGTAGTTTTTACAATTATGCTTTTAAATTATCGCTACAAGTCTAGAATTATATTTGCATCTCGCTTTCCAGAGTATAATACCTTAGATTTACTGTATTGGGTAAAGAACTCGTAATTATACTAAAGGTAAACAGTATACTAGATAAGGTGTTCAATAAGACTAATTAACCAAAACACAAGTATACTTTAAACATTTCTGATCAGGGTAAGATGTAATACTTTAATTAAGACTTCATCAAAGAATATAATATAATTCGGAGTATAATTATAATCGTCTTGCTTTTGAATTTTGGTATTACTAGAAGTGACTAGTTTTACTTAACAGGTCCCAGTTGTAGCAATAATAACGGAGGCTGTCAACACCTGTGTCACCCCCTCCCAAGCGGCCGTACGTGTTCTTGTAATCCTGGCTTCGTCCTTGATAACAATGGTCGAGATTGTCTGGTGAGTGTCCGTGTAAAGGTTGGTCAGTTGTGGCTTGAGGGGGTGGGGGGTGGAAGAAGGTAGGATAGAAGGGGAAGGGGAGGGAGGGCGGTGGAATGTTAATTAAATTCCAAGACTAGAATCTGACGTTACTCTTAAACTCAACTCGACCACAAGTTTAGTAAAGAAATAACCTTTATCTTTTACAAACTAAACTTGATAACACAGGCGTGGGAAAGCTCAAGAAAATATGACTATTTTTGTGATGATGCTTTACGGCTGAACGGAACAAGCAGTGATAGTAGCAAGCATGAGCACACACACACACACACACGCACACGCACACACAGGCAGAGGCAGAAATTTTGTAAAGTCTGTTATAATTTCAACCAGATTCTGGATGTGTAATTCCTAAAATAAATTCTACATTGTAAGTCACGTTTGGAAAATCATTTGTATATTTTTTTATACTTAAGACTTGACATATTAATGCTCCTTTTAAGACGTAAGAGGATATTGAATTTTCTTAAGACGTAACCTTAAGTTTTCATTTAAGACTTGACAGGATATTAACAGGATAACTTGTCATTGCAGGATATTAACAGGATAACTTGTCATTGCAGGATATTAACAGGATAAATTGTCATTGCAGGATAATGAGGAGTGCGAGGAGGAGACGCTATGTAGTCAGACGTGCCTCGAGACCAAAGGATCCTACCGGTGTTCTTGTCTCCCAGGATACAGCCTTCAACCTGACAAGATATCCTGCACGAACTGGGGTAAGGAATAGTCGTGGGAGGTTAGGAAATCAAATTCTCCAGTTTTAGGATACCAATAGATGGGTTTCATCAGGCATCTAGAGTCGGCTCATTATGGATGTCAAATAGCCCTGGTTGCTTCCTGTCTCGCCTCCACTGACCCATGTTATCTTGGCTGGGCTAACGTGATTGAGTCTTCATAGCACACTTGTCGAGCAGGCGTGATAGACTGGTTAGACAAGTCCTTAAATATATTAGTCAAATGTTTTCTGTAGGGTTTTGTTGAGGTATTCAAAAGTAAAGCTTAAGGACTAAAAAAAAATCGCCGACTTTCCGGACTATAAGAGCCAACATAAATGAACTATTTTGAATTATAAGTTAAGCTACGTTAGGCAGAGGAATTCTATACATGTTAGGTTTCATTAGATTGTTACGTTAGGTTAGATTAGGTTAAGTGTTTTGAATGTAATTTTCTGTACACGACTAAACTTTACTTGGACCTTAAACTTCCAAACAATCGTTAACATGACATAATTTAACACTTTACGTTAACTGCTATTGCTTAACATATACTGTAATTAAAACTGAACATTCGTTACAAAATTGTAGAGAAAATGACACGACGGACGAAAGATTTTGACAACCCTACTGAGACGAACAAGAGTCGTAGTGTTCATTCTGAAATTCGTCGACCCAGACCCCACGCAAGTATAGTTTTGTGTGAGTGACTACAATAGATTAATCTTCGGTCCATGTTGCACTCGTGGCAGAGATATTCATAATCCTTCATTTTTCCATTTATCCCATATTGCAGAAGGTCCAGAGTATGTGGTGTTGGTGAAGAACGGTAGCTTGTCGCTGATTAACCACAGGAACCTGATCATGAAAAAGGTCGACCTCCCGCTAGGTACCCAGGTAGATTCCTTGGACTACGACCCAGTCAATCGTCAACACCTTTATGTGGATGGTGAGTGTTGGTGGTGGCTTTGATGTTGTGCCAAGTGAGGTTCTGGCCATTAATGAAAAATTTTATAAGCTCTTGCCTTCAGACGTCGAGAGTTGCTTTAAAAATTACTGACGGGTGTTAATATCTAGTGACAATATTCAGATGGTTAACATGGTCAATATCTATCACTCGGACTTTATTACTTTCATGGTACAAGTTGTGGAATTAAAAAAAAAAATAGAAAACTCTTCAAAAATAGTTCAAGAGAATCTATCCTTCCAACAGGCTCCAACGGCATTGTTGGTATGATAAAAATTAACCAGGCAGAAGGAAGTGTGTCCAGTAAACCTCTACTGATGAACAGGAAGAAACCACAAGGCCTCTCCTTTGACCCCACATCGAAGAACTTCTATTACTCCGAGTTCATCAAAGTCGGGAAGACAGATGCAGCTAGTGGTGGGGTGGCGAAGAGGGACGCTGTCAAAGCTGGACTGAAGCCTGAAATTGGTTTTTCTTTCTTAATGGTAAACTGTCGTCTGACATCCACCTGACATTATATTAAAGTGTGGGTTAAATTGGAGGGGGAGACATGGGTTGGTAATTTCTTGAAGTGGGGTTTCCTAAAGTTTGGAGTGGGCCTTCATAATCTGGGAGGCGGAGGGGATGGTAAACTAGGAAAGGACCTGCTGAACTAGGTGTGGGGGAGGGGGGGCTTATGAATTCTATAAGCTGAAGTAGACCTAAATTAAGGCAAGGATAAAATAAACATTCCTTACTCCATAACATTTTCTAAAGATAATTTAGTGTTGCATGATGTATCAGGTGTGTACAACGGAGGGGAACTGCAGTCAAGTGGCTCGCATCCAGGACTTCGAGATTCCCTCTACCCGCGTTGCTGTCAGGGAGAGGCGACTCTTCTACTGTGCAAACTACCTGGGCCAGAGAGGAGAAACAGGCGTGATCCTTAGTTCTTTCCTTGATGGCTCCAGCAGACGGACACTGAGGCAGGGGAAGGTATACTTAAACCTAATGTAAAGTTGAGGTTTTTGTTCCGATTATTTGCATCTTGATTCACCCCCACAATTTCTCAAACACTTAAGAGACAACAAATGATTAAAAGTTGTGAAATAATTTAAGCTGCTTACTTTAGGAAACCATAATGGATGTTTTAATTAAAAGAATCCATTGTCTGTAAATTATCAATCCAGTGTTTGTATGGGGTAGAGGCTAAGTTCTTTGTATTTAAAGGAACTACTTGATTACCTACACATGGTCAGGGGCTTACATGGTAGAGAGAGACGAGGTTTACAATGTCTTGATAGCCATTGAAGAAAGTACTATGTGAGGGTAAAGTATGTAAATAAACTCCTGCAGGTGGCGAGGTGTGGGAGCGTGGCGGTGGACGAGGCCAAGAGAAGAGTGTACTGGACTGACATGGCTCTTAACACGGTGGAATCTGTTACCTGGGAAGGCGTCAAACACAGGGTCGTCCAGAAGACTCAGGTACTGTACTAACATAACCTGGAGTTTTCATACACCTCTTCCCTTTCTTCTGCTACACATCACTCGCTCCCATAAAATTATATTCACTATTTTGAGTTAGAACGGACGAAGGATTTTGACAACCCTACTGAGAAGTCTCGGTGTTCATTTTTTAATTGATCAGTCGCCTCCATGTACGGTCCAAAATGTTCGTGTGGCCAGTCTGAGTCGATCTGTGTTCATTTGGTAAGGTTGGTACACCTGATTGTGATGCTTTGTGTAACCTATAATCCTCAAAATATAAACAGTCATACACACGAACATTAAAAACCTAAACCGTCTCGACAATACACACACACACACACACACACACACACACACACACACACACACCCCCTTCACCATCCTTTATATAATTGACTAAAACCCCTCCACACACCAGGTGATCTCGCCCAAGGGACTGACGATACTCAAGGACTGGGTCATGTGGATCAACCCTGGTACTCAGGAACTCGTCAGGTGCCACAAGTACAACGGCAGCCAATGGGACAGGAAGCCTCTTAACGACGCCGGTCTTGCCCTTACTACAGTCACGCCACTTCACTTTTCCGGTAAGTTGAGGGGTGGGGGGGGGGTAGGGTAGGTCCTTTTCCTCCTCCTTCCCGTTTCTCTTCACGCTGTCGGTTAACTTTTCTTGCTCTAACCACTATTCCTCTTCCTCCTGATATTCCTCTTGCTTTCCCCATTCTTCCTCTCCCTCCTCTTGCTGCTGTTCTTCATGCCTTTCCTCTACCTCCTCTCCCCGCTATTCCTCTTCCAGTTCTCGTCCCATATACAGCATAGACCAAGAGGCAGAGTACTCGGGGTGAAATGAATTCCTGTTTATTTCCACTTGACAGGATCCGATCTTTGCGAGTCGGCAGCTTGTCCATACTTGTGTACGTCCTTCAACCAGACTGCCAAGTGCCTTTGTCCAGTTGGCTTCAAAGACTCTCTCACTGACCCAGGGAAGTGTGTGAAGGTGCGTTGGTGGTGAGGACTAGCTTATGAAGTGAGGTTGTCTGAAATATTGTCATTTTTTAAAGCGAAAATTTAATTCTTTAAGGAATTTTTCAACATTTTCTGGTTGAATTTAAAGAATTTTGTGAAATGATTTTTTTAGCATTCCGTTTAGGTTAGGTTAATATTTTTTACTTGTGTAATTTGATGCTTCAGCTGGCAGCATGTGAGAAGAACCCCTGTTATGGCCACATCTGTGAAGCGCATACAAATACTGACTTCATTTGCAGGCGAGTGACTTGATATCTGGGTTTTGTGATATCCTGTAGTTTCTGAAGCTCGGTTATTATACAGTATAATTAACGTCTTTGGTGCATTTCTTTACTACTTGATTATTATAAATTGCTCTAAGTGTATATTTTTGCTTTACATCACTAGCTAGAATTCACAATATTTGGTTGAATTGCAAGAACATTTAACTGGTCTCCTTAATTTTAGATACAATGTCAAAACTTCTACTTTAACAAAAATATTCAAATTTTTGTATGTACACCATTAATAATAATCACCTTGAGCCATCAGGTCGAGGTATTTCTTAAGAGTATTGGTCCCAGAACTTCCTTGCCAGACTGAAATACTTGGTTGGTGATAATGATGGGAGTTATGGCAATCTGGTCAGTGTCAGTCGGTGCAGGCATGTCTGTCAGAATGGTCAGTCAACCGTATTAACGAATGTGACATCTAATTCGACCTAATTAATTATAATCCTGACAGGTGTGATGAAGGGCGTCTTGGTGCAAGGTGTGAGGTAGGGGATGTGGCGAAGGCAGGGCAGACTAGTTCCTCAGCCACCACCACAGCTGTAGTCCTCATTGTGTTGCTGGTCCTGGCCGCTGTGGCCTTGGGTCTGTACTGGCACCGTAAACACCCCTTCATTATCTGTAAGAGTAAGAGAGGAAGGTGAGAGAAATTGGTAGTAAGTGATAAACGAGTCAACGTGTGATAAATTGGGGCCGAATGTGATAAAATAGTTTAGTGATAAACTCGTGTGGAATGAATAATAAATTTAACTCTTGAGTTCTTTTCAGTAGGGACTGGGTTCATTTTATCACTGGGTATTGGGTTCATTTTCGGCACTAACCAGATCTTTGGGGTTCATTTCAGCAGTAGCAGGGTCTTCAAGTTTGTGAACCCGGCCTTTGGTGTGATGAGTGACGAGACCATTCTAAACAGTAGTCCGGTCCCCAGCAGCTGCCCCTCTAGTGACAACCCTCCTCCATATGCCTTCACCAACCCCCACCCCGGCCATAACTTCGAGAACCCATTCTTCAAGGCGGATGACAGCCAGGTGAGGTAGATCCCCCAGGTGTGGTCAGGATGACAGGCAGGGGAGGTAGGTAGTAAGGCTAGGTTGACAGCCAGCCAAGGTCATCAATATAAGAATTTAATTTTCTATTATAATTTATGTATACAGATATAACTGACCAAACCATACAAGGATTTATAAATATATATGTATATTAGTTTGATTAAAAATTTGGGCTGTCCAAAATTTATTGTGGAAAAGAAAAATGAAGCGTAATTGTCTGGATGAAGATCATGAATATTGTACTTTGTTTTTCGTGAAATGTAAACCGTAAGTTATAAAGCAATGCATCACCACTAGGATATTAAAGACACTTGTATTTGTTCGCTGTAAGTAATGCCGACAGCCTTAAATGTTCATATACAGTTAACTTATCATAATGTTGTCAATTTATAAACATTCGCGTATAATTTCCCTGACATAAAACATTGCTATAAACCTTCACGTGTTTTTTGTCCACCATAAAACGTTGCCTAGAGAAGAAATCCCCAAGGTAAGATCATCCTTATCATTGTTAACGTTAGCAGTCGTCGTCCACCTTTATAATGTGTACTGAAAGGTGAACGTTTTGTACAGGCCAACACCAGTCTAGACTCTGCAGTAGCCAGCGCCACCGACTCGACTTCTGTCAACATCATCACCTCCCAAGTCGACCTGTCGTCACCATTACCACCGTGAGTGTTCAAGCATTTCTCTCCCAGGAAGGAAGCTTTTATCTAAAGGGTCTTATATTCGACCTTGTTTGCATCTTTCCATATGTTGAGGCCATTGGACATGGTTTTAGGGGGCCATGGGATTAGGCTTGAGGGGGACCATGAGACGGGGCGTTTGGGGGGGGGGGGGGGGGGGGCATAGCAAACCCCCTTTCTTACTGATTGGTCATAAAAATCTCGCACTTTTGCATTTAGTGAAAGTTATTTAGAAAAAACATTATTCATATTTAAATCATTACATAACCCGAGTTTAATGTTGATTCAAGTTTATTAATGAATCGTTTGTTGCCAGGGAGATGAAGTTCGCAACCCCAGCAGAGAAAAAGTTCAAGTGGCCTTTATCTGATCCGTACAACCCAAGTCAGGTATGAGGAGTCTTCATTCACCTGTCCACCACTACACCTGTTCATCATTAACAAGAATATGAAAGTACAGGTGAGAAGAACGAAGAACTTGATTTACATCCTGAATTATGAAGAACAGTTTTTTACGTGAACATTTAAAATAACCAGAAAAGAACGAGAACAAGTGAGAACAGTATAACAGACTGGAGGGGTAAGAAATTAATGAAAATGGTCAAGGTAACGAAATTATAGTTTATTTATATATACATAAATAAAATAAGTATAAAAATCATTGTTTGCTATTACCTGTCAGTGTGTTGAGGTGCTGCAGGATGTTACGTTATTGCAGGTGTAAGGGAAGTTACTGTAGGTTAATTAGTTGTTAGTTAAATGGACGATAGATCCAGAAGAAATCCACGTGTCAGAGAATTTCGAATGTTTAGCATCTCCTTGGGTTAAGTCAGGTGTGTGTGTGTAGAGCCTTTACGGGATCAGGTGTGTGTGTAGGTGTATGGATGGGGCAGGTCGGTTTACAGGTGGGTGTATGGATGCATGTATGATTGTGTGGGAGGAATATGTAGGCGATTAAAGACTAGGTGTACGGATGGGGTGTGGGTAGGTTTATAGGTGGATATGTATGGGTAGGTGTGTGTGGGGATGATTGAAGTTCAAATGTATGGGTAGGTGTACAGGTGTGGGATGGGGTGATTAAAGTTCAGGTGTACACGTATATATAAATACAGTATTTCTTAAAATAAACTTTACCTGTAATCTAGACTATTGGTCTTTCAAGGGTGGCTAGATCACTGTGGGGGCAGCAGGTAGTGGAATTCATCTCTTGCGTGAAGGAGACTTCAGTGGGTTTAAATCGTTCAGTAGGTAGCACTTTACATGAAAGGGAAGACAGATGGAGTGGGTGAAGGGGAGGGTGTCGAATCTGCCAATATTATCTGAAAGCGGTTAAACTTGCCTCAGGTTAATGTTAGAAAATATGAATAAGGATTTTTAAACCTGGAAAATAGAAAATTTTAAAACATTATGATTGATGCCGAAACCATAGATATGTAAACGAAAGTTTGTTACCGATTTCTTTAACATGGTAGCTATACACGGCTGTAACCACACGGGCACTACACTACACCCCCAAGAAAAGAATTTAATATAATACAAAAAACTTAAGATAATCTGATAAATAATTGTTTGGGGTGGAGACCTGTTGTTACTGTATAATGTTAGGAACTCTTAATGTAAACTTGTTAATAATAATAAATTTTATCTTGTATAGTAATTTGCATATTATTGAAATTCTAACATTCCCAGGTAATACTGTAGTTTGTCGAAATCTTGTTTTTCTATGGTAATACTTTGTTTCAATAACCGGTAAACAATTAAAATATATCGGTCCACAAATGATTTATTCACTAGGTAGCAGTATGAATGGAGTAAATTTAAAGAGTTGCCCAAATAAACCAGAATGAATTTGATTATAATTTTAACAAAGATGAATATTACGAACTTATTGAATAACATCTCTACAAGGATAATTTATATTTTGAAAGCTAATTTTAACTAATTTTGTCATGTAGAACGGAAGTCAAATACAAAGATAAATTGCTTATCTGGGAGTGATAGCGCAATGTGCACATCGGTGTACCAAGCTGTGCAACTATCGCTCACACAGCACCACCTACGACCACCACCACCACCCACTCCCATTGCTCGTCACGTGTCCTCCCACACACAATACAAGGCACCACCATTCTCCACTATGGGTTTCCGAGATGCGATATTGGTGTTTTTGTTACTTTGGAAATACTTGATTAGTGAACCTCCTTAAATTCCAATTCCAAGAGAAAAATAATTTGGTTGAGAAACTACCAAGGCTTTAGCCTCAGGTTTTTGGCGGTTTAGAGCCAAAAATTAGATGCTGCTGAATATCTCGGTATTAGTACTTCAGAGCATCATGATAAGGAATCTATGGTCCGCGTTTCGATTGCCGAGTAATGGTGGTCGTAATGCCGCTTGAAATATTAGACATTTTTTCAAGCTAATTACTCGCCAACTATATTTTTCCAAAGTGCTTTTTATTTGTTATTCTGTAACCACCGACTTAAACTCCTTAAATTTCAATTGAGAAAAAAGTATGTGGTAGAAAAATTACTAAGGGGTGAGGCTTAAATTTTAGACCGTTTTGACCCAAAAATTAGATTGTGGAAAATCACATAGGTATCAGAGTATGCTGATTTGGAATATCTGGTCCACGATTCGATTGCGAGGTTATTAGTGGCTGTAATGCGCCTTGGTAAATTTAATGGCATTTATCAATGCGAGTTACCAACAATGAGTTGCAGATGCACCAAAACACACACACACTTTATACATGACTTCAGGGGCCAGCCAGGGTCTGGGGTGACCCCAGGGCCCTTTCAGAGGTGATGACGCCACCAGGGGCCAAAACTGTCGAAAAGGTATCATTCGTTGGTAATTTTTCGACAAAAATATGCTTTTTTTTTTCTCAGAATTGAAATTTAAGGGGTTGAACCAATAAAGTACTTACAGAATAACACTAACGCCAAAATCGCACTTTGGAAAACTATAGTTGGCGAGTAATTAGCATTGAAAAATGTCACTAAAATATAAGTGGCATTACGACCACCATTTCCGCAATCAAATCGCGGAACATATGGTCCTCGATTCGACTGGGGATAATTAGTGGCTGTAATGATTCTGGAAATTTAATGGCATATTTCAATGCTAGATACTCGCCAACTATGAGCAGATGCACACGGGACAGCCCAGGGGCTCTTCCAGTATTGCAGCGTCCCCAAGGGCCATGTTAGCGCCGCTTGATTTCCAAACTATGGTCCATGATTTGACTTCATGAAAATTAGTGCTTGGAAAATTTAATTACATATTTTAATGCTAATTACTCGCCAACTGAGTTTCCAAAATGTGATTTTGGTGTCACGTATTTTTCTGGAAATACTTAATTAGTTAAACCCCTTAAATTTCAATTCTGAGAAAAAAGTATATTTTGGTCGAAAAAACCTTTTCCACTGTGTTGGCCCAAAAATTAGATTTTGCTGAAAATCACATTATAGGTACTCCAGAGCATGCTGATTTCGATTATATGGTCCACGATTCGATTGTGGGGTAATTAGGGGCGGCGTCGCTCTCAGGGGCGAGTGCTTTCCCAGGGGGCCTTCCCAAAGAGCATTGGAGCCCCTAGGGGCCATCTTTAGGGGTAGCGGCGTCCCTAGGAGGTCTTCCCGAGGGCAGTGGCGCCCCCACGTGACCACCCAGGACATCAGTGCCCCCAAGGGGCCCGCTGGTGTTACGGTGCCCCCCGGGGCCATCTCGGGAGAAGAGGAGCTCCCAGGGGCCCTCCAAGGGGCGATGGCGCCTCCAGGGTTCCTTCCTGACGCGGTGGAAACCCCAGAAGCCCTCCCAATGCCGGCGGCGCTCTCAGGGGCCTTCCAAAGGGCGGGCGCTTTCCCAAGGGCCGTCCGTATGGAGGCGTCGACCCCAAGGGCACTGCCAGAGGCGGTGACGCCCCAAGGGGTTCTCCCAAGGGTTTGAGGTTCCCCGAGGGGCCCTCTCAGAGGTGGCGGCACCCCCAAAGGCTCTTTTAGGGGCGGCGAAGCCTTCATGGGCCTTGCAAGAGGCTATGACGCCCCTAGAGGCCCTCCCTTAGGGGTTGCAATGACCCTAGGGACCCTGGAGAGGGTCGGTTGCACACACAGGCCATCCCAGGGACCGGACCATCAAAGGCCCTACCAGGGCAAGTGGCACCACAAGGGGCCATACCAGGGGCCTTTCCAGGAACGGTGGCACCCTCAGGCGCCTCCCAGGGGCGGCGTCGCTCCCAGGGGCGTGGAAAATTTTAATTACCTTACTTCACTGCAAATTACTCGCCAACTTTAGGATTTCGAGGTGCGATTTTGGTGTTACGGTGTTATATTGTAAGTACGTAATTAGTTAAACCTCTTAAATTTCAGTAATGCGAGAAGTATATTTTGGTCAAAAAATTAGTAAGGCATTAGACTTAATATTTTAGCGATTTTGGCCAAAAATTAGATATCGTTGAAATTCGCATTATAGGTACTCCTGAGCATGCTGCTTTCGAATATATGGTCTAAGATTCGATTGCGGGGTAATTAGTGGTTGTAATGAGGCTTGGATATTATAAAGACATTTTACAATACTAATTACTCGCCAATGAATGTGCTGCTTATGATCTGTTAACCAAAATTTGATATCTTGATTATAACTTGTTCAAATAGCTTTTAGAAAATGTTCAAATGATTTTTAGAATATTTTAATTACTTTTGCAATGCTAATTACTCGCCACTTATGGGTTTTCGAGGTCATTTCTTGGTGCTTGTGTATTATTCTGATGTACTTAAATAGTTAGGCACATTAAATTTTAGTTCAGAGAGAAAAAGTATTTTGGCCAAAATCCTTTAAGGCTTTAGACTTAC